TCGACTTTGAAACGAAAATCCACTATCATATGACTTTTTAGAATTCATCTCTATCAATCCAAATAAAAGGCATTACAGTAATTTGCTGTTTTCCTTCAATAAGCAGACACGAGGTTGTTATTATAGAATTTATTAGGATACAATAGCTGACGTTTCGGTGGTTTTGCCTTCTTCAGAGCCGTTTATTTGTTGTAAGTATTTAAATTAGTTCGCCCATGTATATTACTCTGTGCGGTTGCTATCCATCAACTAACTTAAATGCTTACAACAAATAAACGGCTCTGAAGAAGGCGAAACCGCCGAAACGTCAGCTATTGTATCCTAATAAATCCTATAATAACAACCTCGTGTCTGCTTATTGAAGGAAAACAGCGAATTATCAATCAATGTCGAGGTTAAAAGAAACTCGGCCTTGGGAATGGCATTACAGTAATTCCGGCAAGCGACTGTCAGCAACGGAATTGATCGAATAACTCACCGTTTTCTTGATGAGAAAGCAAGATGTTGTCATTTTCCTGTTTATTCACAAAAAATTACTCTTTAGTCAAAATAAAGATTACAGTAAATCTTTGATACATTCTTCCCGTATTTTAGCTGGAACACCTATTATAAGAACAAGTCCGTAGAGCTCGTGATTAATTACAAGATGTTCGATAAATTCGACTCCATTCATAACATGGTAGAGGTGGCTTCATGCATATCTGGCTTATACAGTAACGCTCTGCTCAACTGATGTATCGAATAAAGGTTTTATTATCGCAGACAAATCTGATGCCAACTGCCAATCCTTCAAGTACGGGAGGGTTGCTTTACCCAGTCGCATGATGGAACTAAACCTGTTTGTTCTGCAGGACACCTATAAACACTGCTCTGTTCGCAACTCAGGCGTCTAATACACACGAAGGCTTTCATCTCTTGATCTAATAAAACAATAGAAAACCTTTTTACAAATTCCTCCTGATTGGTGAGATTTACCACGGATTTACCATAGTTACCTCGGTCCTCGAACAAATGGTATTCTGAACGCAATAGATTTGATGATCAAAGCGAACCATCCAAGTTTTCGTAATCCAAGTAGTTCAACTTTTGAGTCTAACCAAATCGACCTTTTAGGGTTTAGACGCCATTTTTAGTTTATTGTGTTGATCTCATAGCAATGCTTCTTTGTTTCAATGATTTCGAAAGGACTAAGAAAGCGTGATGAATAGTCACTCTAACACCTCTGGCCGGAAAAGTTACCATAACTTCATTTTGACTTTAGTGTAGCATTGTAAAATGTGCTTTTTTTATAGTTCTTACAACTCAAGCGCCTTTTACGATTATCGTGCAGAATCCATTTCTAATCCCATGTCAGAATGTGATCAAAACATGGATCGCATTTATCGCTCGTGGAAAGCGCATCCAACAATTTTGTGAGAAACAACAATATATCTTCTGTATTTCCTCTATCACCTGTATACAGAAGCGCAAAAATAACCCTTTAGATGATTGAGCATGGTGCGCGGTGAAGCTACATATGAGCTTTGTTCGCCTAGGGAACACAGAGCCGCCCACTTTTCTTATGGAGTAATCTATCTCCTCTGTTTTTTGATGAGGTTAACAAATTGAATGTCAAGTTTTCTCGGAGAAGACATTGTAGCATTTGTTATCCCACACTTTCTCTGTATTTCTTTGTTATTTGATTGTAGGGCTTTAACGAAATTGATATAGGTGGTACATCCAATTAAACCCACAGAGGAATGCATGAATTTGACAACTTATACACAAATGGTGAAGAACAATCCGGCCAAAGGTAGCGATCTTAAACCAGTTAACGTCTCACATCACGTTAACAGTCGCTTTTATTCCACCTCCCACCCATTATTTGATTAGGACAGGCTATCTGACCCCGCAGCTAACTGACTCAAGATTTTTAAGGCTTTTGGTTACATAAAGAGCCAAACGATGGTAACTTCGCGATCTCATCCTGAGAATTACTATATTTTCAGACCATAGTTGACGCAGAGGAATTAGATAAGCCAATTTTTGTTCATCTCTATAAATTCTTCTACTTGTTCACTTGTTATATTCGTATTTTTGTCAATATATTTCGCTCTATTACTCGTGCATAAATAACTTCTTAACTAGCTATTGTACTTCTACTCAGCTCAAATCGGAGTCACAGGTGAAGATACGCCTTAAACTTTTTCATTCGGTGTTCATGGCAGCTACGTATTGTGATTTGTGTGTAAATTATTCGATCTAGGTCTATTTGCTAATTTTTTTTCATTGGCATCGATTACAATCGATTACGACGCGTTGCAATTTCAGATCATAACTGATAATTGATTTTCTGATCGTTTGGTGCTACGAGTAGCTTAGGTGCTCTATGCGCTGTTTTGAAAAGCGGCGTGATCGTAATAGCTTAGCGCTTAATCCAACACGGGTCGAATATACCTGCTGCTTCCAACAACTACATGTAAATGTAAGTTCACATGTTTCTCCGTATATTATAATATTACCCATTGCTTTGTGTTTTTTTTGAATCTCATACGAAACATCATTCACATTTACTGTGTCAATCCCACCACTTCTCACATTTGATTCGTTTCCTCGCATCCATCATTCACGAAGGTCTTCCAACATTAATACGTGGCTTCGGCTTCTGCTTGAGGATCTTCTTTCCATCATGAACGTCGGAAATGCTAGTCGAGTCGATTTTCCCTGGAGTCCTGAGATAGAGCTGGTCTAGAGCGTTCCCTCTTGGATTGCAGAGAGTAATTTCTTTCGGACAAGAACCGTACTAATTTCCCTACCTTGAAGGGATGACAGGCTTGCTTAGCCCAGAGCAGGATCGAAGCAGCACCGTGCTCGTGGTAATCGTCATCACTACTACTGTACTGTCCTCCTCCTATTATTTTATGCATATATTACATACATTTATTTATATGTTTTATGTATTTATTCTATAATATCTCTCATATCTTTTATTTTCTTTTACGTATAGTATATTTAAACACATACATATATTTTATACTCATGTATATTTACATAAAAGGATAAAAAAGGATAAAGCTTTCGGCGTTGATCAATTCCTGAGAGATGAGCCATGCATTCGACTTCATTATCGTGGAAGGTGATCGAACGCATATCTGATCCTTAGTCGTGGTGGACTGCCGTTGTATCGAGCCAGTGCTGCTATTCTTCCAGACAAGTCTGGTACCAATTTGCCGACCCCGGAGGGATAGAAGAGTTTATGGGCCGTGGGCGCCGGAATCGATTCCACGAGTGTGTCGTAGTGGCGCCTCCAACCACTGCGCCACAAGCACCCATCTATATTTATATATACATATATTATTTGCTGAGACTCTTTATGACTCTCAGAAATAATGTATCTAACCATAAGAGCAAATTGAAAGCGAGATTCAATATTCACCTTGTTGTAAATGTAAAGCGATGTTGGAACGATTTCCTCTTGTTGCATATTTTCTGTGCAAATCTTATTCTTCAATTTCACACACACACACACACAAATACACATACACATGCACATACACATACGTATGCACATACATATACGCATACACATACATACACATACATATACACATACACATACACAAACACATACATATACACATATATATGCGCATACATATACATATACACATGCACATACACACACACTCCTTAGTTCGCTTAGTAAAGTTTAATGGAAAATGAATATACAAGATGCAACCTTATTTATTGTATCATGATGAAGTCGTGAAAACCTGAGGAAATAAATTCTGTCTTCTGCGCAGCAATGTATCTGACCACAATGATGAATGAAGAAGAATATCCTCGCCTACCTCTCTTAATGCCTACAGTAGTGTTTATTGTTAGCGGTTGGTCGGACGGTGGTATTCTTGTACAACGGAGTCCATTTGTATTGGTCAGAGGTACACATCAAAATTCTTGGAGCGTTATGTTGCCTTCCTGACAATGCTATGTTTCCATAATGATTTCACTATGGTTCAAAAGGTTATAGGTAGTAATTCTGCCTGCTGACTATGAAACAGCCACGTAGGCTTTATCTGAAACAAAGTTTCAGTTGGCAACTGTTTCAGTTCCCTATCTTAAGGCAACTATTGCACAGTGCGTCATCTTTTGTCTTTTTAAAATGTTATTTTCGTCAAATATTCTTATCCGATCAAGAGAAGGATCATCTTGATTCGTAAAAGAAGCGCAAAGCAGATTTCACAACGACTATCGTTTTAAGCTCATGCGGCATCCATCTATCGTTTTTTTTTCTGGTTTTCTAACTCGTTTAAAGTTCTACTAAACGATCGTTTTACTTTTCGCTCCTTCTCTCATACCTATAGAACAGCTGTGGTTGACCCTCGTTCCTTGGCATAACTTATGTCGTTAATCAGTATTGACGATGAAAAAAAACTCCCAACCTCCCCATCTTCAAAGCTCTCTTCTATGTAACGAATTTAATGAGACCAACGATGCCTCGCACGATCTTTAAATGTTCGTTAAACGTAATGACGCACTGATACAGCGAATCCACAATCTTACGTCTAGGTTTGATTTTGTACAAAAAAGGTATTAAACGCTTTACTCATTTTTATTTGAATAGTCCAGAGAGCATACGGAGAGATCTTCTAGTCTTAATATAGCAAAAGATAGTAACACGAACATAAAAGAATAAGCCTTCATATGACCTGTCTTCACATATCGCGCTTATTTCAGCACTCCCTTGATTTGTTTCAACGTCTCGCATCCATCTACCCAGCTCCCCGAATTTCAGTTTGGCTGCTGTTAGAAGTTTTCGCTTTTTTCATGAATGTCGTTGAGTATTTGTCGAGTAGATTCTCTCTGGAATTCTATGATAAAGCACTGATAGAGGATCCACAAGACCACCACAGACATTCGGCGGCCTTTGTGGATCGGAAAGAATTTTTCCCAGGAAATTCTGCTAAGGTCGATCAACGAGCTATGCATTTTTTGCACACTATTCAAAAAAACTGATTTCATTGCTTTCAGGACAACTTATTGATTTCCTAAATATTCTCAAATTTGGAGATGAACAAGAGATAAAGAAAATCCCAAGTGCCTCATTAAATGTCTCCTATTTTTCATTATTGTTTATTACCGTTCATTAAATGATATTTTTCAAATGTTTTTGTTTTTGAGAAAATGTTCAAATGTTTTTTTTTAATCATACTTTGCAACAATTTATGACATTGAGCACACCTTTACGACATCCTATTATCGAGAACAGAAATGAGGAATTCTGTATGAAGAAGCAAAGGGAAAAATCGTAACGAAAAGGAATTGCAAAGATGAGCGATTTCATGTCTTTGTACTACTGAATACACTGCCATGTCGTTAACCCTGTTTCCCTTCGCACAGCATAGTCTACAACTGCCTGATAGTGACGGTAAGGAAAGCCTTTGCGTAGCCGTGGAAACCTAAAAGACCATGCAAATTTCGCTACTTTGAAGTGCTATGATGAGCTTAAAGATAAACTAAGCTTTTACGGGTGATGTCATCCATCCTAATCTATTGAGTTCATTAAGACATGCTATGGAATAAGAATGACGTGCATGTTATCCTCATAAATCTTCACCCAAGGCGTTCATCACTTCATCAATTTTTTTCTTTTCCTAGATGCTGAACTGAGATCCACACAATCCATTCACGACAAAGTTTACAAAGTAAACAAAAATTCGACATTTACATTTGGAATTCTGGCTATTGATGAATAACGGCCACGGTGAAGCCGCCCATGCCTGGCTGTTTCCCACAAAAAAATTGAAAATAAAGGGCTATGAAGCTTCTACTTTCACGCTTTCTTGATGATAAGTCTTCTATACGGTGCTTTTAGACTGGATCTTCTTTGATCGCCATCTTTCATATAGTCGTTTCATCGGCCGTGATGTATTGGGCCGCCAGGTCTTTGGCCACAGGGAATAAATCCAGAATCGATGCCGGCTTTGAGTTGGTGCTCTCATCGTTTGCCCTCGTCATTTCACTGGTATTATTTGCTGGTCTAAGATGTGAGAGTCGCCGTGTGATTACTGTATATATCGCTGTTCAAGTACGTTTCCTTTCTACTGCTTGTGACGAACTCTTGATTATAAAGCTTTCATGACCAAGTAAATTGGTTAACATTACGCTAATAAAATTTCTAAATCAGACATAGTGTTTCCTTGAAAATTTTCTATTAGTGACTTTTGATTTATTGGAGTTCGTAGGGAGATTTGGACAGGAAACTGGTCAGAAGACAAAAATCCCAGAAAGTAACTGTATTAAGCTTACAGCTAGAATAAGTGCGAAATTTGTGAGTTCAAAAAGTTAGGTGAGAACAATCATCGTCGAAGAACTGCTAAGTCCCAGTCACGACTTTCTGTTAACCTCAGCATTGGTCAATAATTCACTGTATTACTGTTTAAAGAGCACGCTCGCTCGACTTGCTCTGTTACCGTAGTCAGCACGAAATGAATTCTAAATGGGATCACTTCCAGTACCGTTTTGATCGATAGTCCCAGGAAGAAACCGAACCGACCTTTATGATTTTGCAATCGTACCTCTTTCGAAACCAAGTAATTTTGAAATGTTGTTTTCGCGAAGAATATTTTATAGAAGCTCAACTTCCAGTTAAAGAACGCCCACTGTATTTTTACAAAAACGAGTGACACGTAATTTTTGGGGCTTTGAAACGTGGACGACGTTTAATTTCACGTCCCTTACATACCTGGTGCAATTCGCCCACAACACAAATACATGGTCATCAGTGTATAATGACGATGGTTTTTTTTTATATAAAGTGAAAAATGTTCCTGACTGTCGAAGATAATGTTCAACTACGTCAGAAGAGACATTTCGTCAGTCTCTTCACCTGCAGTAATCCCTGTGATAGGTACTAAAGCTCTCCCTAAGGTTACGGCTTCAACAGCAGTGTTTTTTGGCCGTGATCTGAACTCGCACTCAAAACAGTTTCTTGTTAATTATTTGTTTAAAGAGCAACCTCTTCCATGCCGTACATGGCATAACATCTGTGCTTGATATGCTGCAGATCGAATGCGAAAAATGCAGCAAGAAAAGCATTACGCACTTTCCCCCACGCATGCGTTGCGTCCAATGCATTGTGTGCGTTATCCTTTAATGAGGTGTGAAAGGAATTGCACACCTGGCGCAGAATTACAGAATTGAATTAAGAGGTACTAGTGAAAGATAAAATTGAAAATATACACAAATCCAAATTTCAGGGTATTTTTTGCCGCTTACAGAAGCGTAACATTTCATCACGCTTTGTATTTCATTAATCTCAGTCATGCTCAGTACACACTCTTCAACCATTCTAGTAGTATAGTCTGCGGAAATTCACTGATTTACAGTCTGCAGAAATTTACTGATTATTTAAGAAATAAAGTTGTCAGTAGGAAGTCTTTTTGTCCTCGCTGAAATCTCTTTGTTTTCATTGGGAAACTCGTGTGCATGGAAATTAGCTGCAGCCTGCACTAGAACTTCTAATCTAGAACTCAAGCCAAGGCACATGTGCTTTCTAGCTTCACTGTCAAATTTAGATTTTTTAGTTATATCTGTAACAAGGGTTCGATTTTTGCATCTTTTTTGTTTTTACTATCCAACTTTGCGTCTACTGTGCTGATCTCAGCACTTCTTGTTTTCTCTTCTTTTCTAGCATCCGTCGTCTTTGAAGATTATCCAGCTTCTTGTTCTCTTTGGAATTCTGAAATAGTCAAGCAAAAGCGTTCCCACTTGAATTGAATAAAAAGAACTTTTCCCAGATAAATCTGGTACCACTCTTTCTACCCCGGACGGAAGAGAGGCTTGATGAGCCGGGGTGGGTTTGAATTAGTACTAATAATTATCGTCATCACTACCACTATGGTACCCACCCCTGATTTGCATACATTTTGCATTACGAAACGATAACGACCATCTGCATAGCTAAATCATCTGGCCAGCTAGTTGGATTTTTTTGATTTTTCGACAATTTTTTTGTTTGTCGTCCACTAACGGCTCAATAAGTTTCGCTTTTTCATTTACCAGCTGTTGTTGGAAAAGCCGTAAAGCAATGGATCAAATCCAACTGGCATTTTATGGGTTTTCTCCCAATTTTTGGGACAAATGTATGCAAAATGGATGAATTGATGATTCAAAAACTCAAAGCCCACTGTCTATTGACTTGGGTAATGTTAAACAATTCACTGTTGGTTTTCCTCAATCCATAAGGTTGCTTTTAGAATATTCAAACACAAAAGGTAACGTTTCTGCGGTTTCGCCTTTCTCAGAGTCTGGAAAGCTTAAATTGACACACATTCTGATCGGTCAAACACTTTCATGACATCAGCAGAAAAGGACTCAGTACGTAAAAATATTTCGAAACCGACTTTCTCTAAACCTCGGTGTGACTAATCAATATGTATTCTTTCTTGATAAGCTTGCACGAGGTTGATAAATATATTTATTTTCGGCTAACGTTTCGACGTCTTCGTCTTCCTCAGAGCCGATGATCCGAGTCGATGGTCCATGATTGTTGTTCGTCTCGACGTTGCAGCTTCGCCTTCGTGTCGAGCCAGCTCTTCCTCAGTGATCCATCTTCTCGAATGAGGCATCCTCACTCAGTGATGCCCTTTTATACACGATGCTGATGGTGGATATATAATGATAATATCCGGTGGTAACAACCTGTATTTCTTCCGGACATACATCATTGCGGACATCGTGCAGAAGTCGGTGTTTTATCAGCTAGCACAAAGCGTAGTAATATTTCGAAACCGACTTTCCCTGAACCTCAGTGTGATTGGTTGAACACTAACCATTTTCTCCGTTTGGCGATTCGTCTTCTTCATAACCTGCAAAGGTCACATTGACATCTAATTTGCTCAGCCAAGCACTCAAAATCTCATCAGATAAAGCTTAATGCATAAATTTTTATTCACATAATAAATAACTTCTTCAAACATTCACCGTTCTATCCTTTGTAAGTTTTCCACTTATTAGACGGAAACCAGCTGTGGAGCGCCCTACATGGGCGAGGAATGTGCCTGTCTCAGCTCAAAGAATCGGCATGAGACATGGTACAAGGTCCCACGTCATCACAAGACACTCCTTGCAGCCTATTTTTGGCTCCATGGAATTTATCCATAACACTTTAAGAGTTTTAGGCGCTGATATTCTGGATTACTGTGCAAGGATAGTGATTTTTGCTTCAAAATCTACTTCGTAATATCTTTATGTCCATGCCAAGTGGAGTGCTTAGTTCAACTTTAAATCTACGGATAGGTGCTTTTTTATGCGGCCGCGTCATATATTTTTTAAACCATCAGTTACTGATAAAGGTATGCAGTTTGTTGCCTATTAGATGTCGGGATGATGAAAGGGCGTCCTCAAGGACTTTCCTTTATCGCTCATCATCTGAAAGAGAATCCAAATATCAGTACTGAAAATTGGAAACGGAATGGGTCAAAGTGGTGATTGCAGGTTTGAATCCGTCAGTTATTCCACAGCCTAAAATTGGATTACTAATATGTTTCTCTTATGCTTACTTACCAAAACACTTAAGATGGTATCCACCAATGATCTGTCGCCTTCCGACCCTCACCCTTTAAGGGTAGATCCAACATCAGTTGTGGAGAAGGGTCCACGAATAGGATGGCTTTGTTTATAAATCTAATTCTCATCCAGTTGCTAAAACACATATCAGCCCATCGCATGAATACTCAAACATTCCTAGATCGTCTTCGTAACGCGCCTGCTAATAGCGTGTATGTTATGGAGTCCCTCGACGTTTCTGCCCCTTATAGTAACATGCCGAATGACTCCGCACTACAAGCCATCTTCAAGCTCCTTATGCAACATTAAGGCAACATAAACACGTAAGGCACCATGGCTTGATTCAGCAGAATTCAGCCTTTTTAAAGGAATGCCTCAATTGCTCAATTTTTAGACGATCCGGGAAATATTTCACAGAAATGGGAGGATTGGCAATGGGACAGCGAATGGCACCAAGCCTTGCTATTGCTTTTTTGTCTAAGGTGCAAGCACCAGTAATCGATCCTTGGCCATTACTCTACTGTAAGTAAGTGCATCGACGACTGCTTTTTCATCTGCTCAGTGCAAGAGTAGGCGGGCAAACATTTCGAATTGCTATATGAACAGTCAGAGTGCATAATTTTCATTCGAGGGAAACCAAAGAAAGACTAGCTCCTGTCTTCAAACGTGCACATTAACCTATCAAAAAATGGTTGCATCGCTCGGTGGTACCAGAAGCCGCGTAACAAAAAGATACTGGTTCATAAAGGGCGCTTGTGAGAAACATGGTCTGAAGAGCCACCAGTGTGTGCACAGAAAGAGAACAGAAGGAGGATTACTTGAAACTGGAGCGAAAAACAGCCATTTCCAATGACTACGATGTGGTAGCTTCACGGGAAAGGTGTCCAGACGAAACCACGCTCCCCAAAAAACGCCCCCATTATTCTACTCTTCATTTCCAACGAAATAGTTGCAGCTATAAAACGTTGCTTAAAAGAGGCCAGTTTAGAGAATTCGGTAACATTGATCGAGACACTACTGGTCACTCTAAAATGTCAGCTAGTTCGTAATTCTCCTTCTTAAGACCGTCTGTGTATAACACAATATAGCATAATTTGCCCCAACGCTAGAGACGCGACTGCGTAAATTTGGGTCCGCTATGTCCAATTTCTTCTAGAGTTTGTGAAGATATTAATACTTTGGAGAAACTGGTAGACCACTATGTGTCTGAATAAAGGAGCACTTAGTTGGAAAACTTAAGGCCAAACAGAGCAGTCCACTAGACATGGATAGGACACAGAGACTTTACGGAGAAGATATTGAAGTAAAAAGCACTATCTTAGCACAGGAATCGAAAACATCGGAATCGCTAGTGTTTAAAAAAGGCTGCTTACTGTGCGAATAAAATTGTTGAACCAAATTTTTTTCTGACTGGGTTATGAAAACGTTTGTCTGAATAGATTAAATGTCAATTTGGCATTTCCAGGCTCTGATGAAGGCTCATTCGCCAAGATGTCGGCTGTTGTGAATAACTGACTAGTGTAATAATCTCCTCGCGATTGCTCATCAATACAGCTAAGAAATCATGTGTGAAGTCCTCAGTAAGATCGATAGCAACAGGTAGAACAGGTGCCTTGAAGGTCCAACAATGTTGGGGTTGCTTAAGATTTAGTCAATATAGTTGAGTTAAATGGAGGATCAAATATTGCCAGGCCTTTCATTTCACCTAAGCCAATTAAATAGGCTTACTGAACAGTTGAAACTGGATATTTTTGGCATCAAAAGCGCAATGCTTAAACATGCTGCGCGTCACACGTATAGTCTCTGGTTCGACACCGGGCAATCATGTATTCTATCATTATGGAGTCCGTGAAGTCTTACTAGTCTTATTCAGGAGGCGTTTCTTCCTATACAGCCATTGGCTGCCTGCAGTGAAAGGCTGGGAATACTCTAGTAGGTTCATCGCAGAGCTACAGTAAAGCCCAACTAATCAAGCATTCAATAAAATTTCTGTAGAAAGCACAGTCTTCAGATGGCGACAAACCCAAAAGCAAATACAAAGAGGTGACTGATGAGGGGCAATGAATGAAATGAACGAAGGTACTAGAATCAGCATAGTATGTGATATATGACATGTAAAGGAGAAAGCTCTATGCGTGTATCAATCTCTGAGGGATGCACCATGCATTCGACTTCATTAAACATCGTTAGAGGTGACTGAATGAATATTTGGCCTATACAATGACTCAATGATCTATCGATGCATCGAGTCTTTGCTGCCATCCTCTCAGACTGGTGTTTCTATCAGTTTGCCGACATTTTTGAGAGGGAAAGCTTGGTGAGCTTAGGGCGCGGGATCGAGCCCAGGTGTATTGTACGGCGCCTGTAACCAATGCGCTACACGCGCCCCATTTGAAATAGAAAGAGATATAATAAGTATTAGTTGCAACCCTTTTTCGAAAAGTGGCCCCACTTGGAATCGTAATCGTTCTCCGGCCAGCAATCAATAACGATAGTAACCCTTTTATTTACTGCCTTTTTCTTTTTAATGGCATGGTATGTTATGGAATATAACTCGTATGTAATGCTGAGATATTTGCAAAACTCCGGACCGCAGGTGTATGCGGTGGGGAACGAACGCTCGCTATTGTCCTTTTCGGGGAGTAGCGCACTTCAAGATCAATAGAACTAGCTGAGAGGCAGGCAAAACAAAGGACCCGGATGGTGTGGTGGTGAAGTGCGCTACTCCCCGGAAAGGACAATAGGGCGCGTTCGTTCACCACCGGATACACCTGCGGTCCGGAGTATTGCAAATATCTCAGCATTATATACGAATAACGATAGTATTCAAGTTAAAGTGAATTCATCAGGAATACTAAATATATTATCAAGATAGGTAAAGAGTTCACATACATTGTTAACATTAGATTTGACTCGTTTTTTTTTTACAAACAAACAATGTTTTTAATTTTAGGTGGTTGCCATAAGTCTTCTATTCATACTTTTTCTTGCCTTAATAATGGGATTAAAGGCTGGAATTCTTGACGATGCCGATCATAACGGCTACAAAACCATTGGTTTGTTATTATATTCCGATAAATTTTAACAAAGTTATCGACTTATTTGTTTGGTAAGCGATATTCTTGTGTTGAGCTGAAAGCCGATCAATACCCATTCTTATCGTCTTATCAGCATTACGTTTACGATTCTGTCAAACGTTAAAGGAAAATCGTTTTATGTTCTAGAGGAGGAGATGCTGATTGTAGTCGAGATATTGTGCTCATTTGCTTTGGTCGCACTAGAAGTGTGGTTTTTGACGGTGGTGCTACGCTCCTATCGCTTTATCACCCATAAACGTCAATATTTCGGTGTTGATCGAGAGGAAAACCTTTAACCACTATAGGGGTGCACTGCCAGACGTTGAAGTGCCCGGACGTCTCTATATATCAAAATTCTCACTCAGTACAGCTAAGTGTGTCAAAACGAGTATGTTTGTCCATGTCACCTTATGCTATCTGTTAAGCATTTGTTTCTATTTGATCTAATTTCTACTGCTGAAGTGGATATGTCACATATTCTAACACAAGTGTGCATTTTATCGAGGATTATTTAATTTGTTCAGATTTTTCTCAGTGAATTCCGAGTCCTCAGATTGTTTTTGATCGAAAACTCTGTTAACAATATCTGTCTACAATGTAAATGTAACCATTAGAGCTCAAACAATGCACAACAAGAAAAATCAAATTGTGTAATCCTCTGTTTTTCCCAGTCGTTTTTTTCCTTTTTCATTTCTAGAAAAGATTGTTCAGTTGTCGTCCAGCATATGTGTCTAGCAGGGAGTGTCTACTAGATTTCTTATCCTTAACATAAAGAATAAAAGATTTCATGCCAGTCTTTGGAAAAAGAGTCGATTTCAAACGATGTTATACATAATCCTGAACTAAACAGTGGTAATGTAATGTAAAACGTATAGTCGATCCGTACCTATATAAAATAAAAGGATAAACCTCTCAGCGCTGATCAAACCCTGAGGCATGTACCATGCATTAGAGTTCATTAAGCATCGTTTGGAGGTGATTGGTTGCATATTTGGCCTTTGCAATGACTCACGGTGGCTTACCGATGTATCGAGCCAGAGCTGCTATCCTCCCAGACAAGTCTGGTACCAATTTACCCAACCCGGAGGAATGGAAGGCATGGCGGGCCATGGGGACTGGGATCGATTCCACGTGTGTGTTACACGGCAACTCCGACCACTGCGTCATACGCTATGCATATGTGTATATATTTAAGTTTTCGTTGAACTTTGTTAAGTAAGACACCAGGAATAGAATACTATAAGAACTTTACATCCGTCTTCTTTTTTCAACTCGTTCATTGAAATGAATACTTCTGAGACAACTGCTCTCACATAGTCAATAGCTCCACGTAAAAATCACGTCATTTCTCCAATTTACACTTAGTTTACTACATTTCTCATCGGGCAAATAAACCAATTTCTACTAGATTTTTGCAACTTTTATTCCTTGTTTTCCTTCCCACTCTATTCGTGCCGCTGACTTTCGACTGATTTTGTCGAAGCAAAAGCAGTTTTTGAGGACTTTAGTGAGTTTTATATCTACACTGTCAAGTTGATCTTATCAACAATCCCTGAAAACACAATGCCGATGATAATGTTAGTAATTTCTGAAAGTGCGATCTGAAATTAACGAAATCGATCATCTTTATACACCTTTGAAAATACGAGGAGATAACATGAGTGATGGAGTACGACAAAAAAAGAAGCGCTTTCACAACGAATTTCTCACTCAAACTTGCGAGAATACATACAGTAAAACATTAAAATCGAGGCGATCGGTGTCAGTGTTCTCATTTCAAGTGATAAGTATGCGATGTGATGACGTCATGTGTTGAATACGGTACGAAATCGTGGACGACGAGCACTGTTTCTATGCAAAGGACACAAAAGAAACAGTTAACTTAATTCGACGGCTCTGTTGGTACATTCGATTGAGTCACTGATAGACGACGTGGACGATCGGCCTCTTCCATAGAGCTGAAATAGAAGAATAACTATTCACAGAGTTATCGTTACAGTTATAGGTGAGGTGATGTGGTCTTAAAACGCAATGGTCTTATTGAAGTAGCTCTACGAACAATGCGACACATTTCATGATGTCTTCTCAAGCATAAATAAACATATGCAAAGTCTTCTCGATTCTTTCGTTTCTTTCTGTTTCAAGACATCAGAGACATTATACCCCTAAATTCACATTACTATTAGAAGAGCCCATCACCTCACAACAGCTGCCGCGGGATGACAATGGCGTTCATCTCTCACAAGGTGCTCAACGGTTGTATACGGAAGCCCCAGTTAAGAGAAAATCAATTGAAGATATTACCAAGGAAGAAGCTTAATTATGAAGTGGAACATTCCTCTCGAATCCAGACACATAATGTCTGTCTGTGATGACGATCTACCAACTCTTTGTCACTGACATCTCAGAAGTGCAGAGAAAAATCTTCCCAACACAGCAATGCACCAGTTATATATATATATATATATATACACATGTATATATATATTAATACATGTTTACATATATACATATATATATATATCTATATAATGAACAGGGTGGTCGAGAAGTAACTCTCCACTCTAAAGCATTTACAGTTATTCTAATAATTTTCTCAAATTTCTCTTCGTCTTACGTTCCTTAGCGCACGGGACGGGAATTAAACTATGCAGCTACTTCTTTTCCCATGGAACACTTTCTTTGAAATTTGAAAGCTCGAAGGCATCAACACATCAGTGGATCTCTTACTCTGCAAGAATGTTCCCAGTTAGTGGGACGTTACGAAGTTTAGAGACTCGCTGCTTAAGTAATACGATGCTGGAAAGCTACTAAAAAATATATGCCCAAACTGATCCAAAGGCGAAAAAGAATAGTCGTTCAAAACTCGTGGCTTAACTAGTACTCAAAAAAGCAGTCGCATTTCCAGTTCCAGCGACCCGGAAGTAGAGCAAGTTGTTTAGGAAATGTTTACTCAGAGCTCAAAAAAGTCAATTCAACAAGCAGCAAAAAAAAGTGGTCTTTTCCTTCACTGTGTATGAACTGTGCTTAAGGAGCTTAAATGATGTGAATGTAATCGTAAGAATTTTGACATAGGGAGTTAGTTTTCGATCTTGCCATATACAAAATATATATGATACATAATATGTTTATAATAGATATATAGATAGATATTTGTATATACATATACAATCCACCTACTTCCATCAGATGAGTGACCTTCAAAAAACGTGAAGCGGGTGACAAATGTAGGTTAAAGACTATCTACTTCTTCTGAAAAGAAGAAGGATCAGTGGGAAGAGTACTTTCTTTTTGCTGAGCAGATTAACATGTACATCCCGTGTACACAATCTTCATATGTGTATATAGCGTGAGTGTCGCCATATGTATGCAAATGGTGTCGTGCATAACACTAAGGCTAAAAGCCTTCCAATCAAGCGAGAGGAAATACATGGGAAGTTATCCGAACTTCTATCCAACAAAACAGCTCCTATTTAGTCCGGGACCCGGCAAGCAACCCCTCAGTGTATCGATCACTAACTACAAGTCCCAACGAGATCCCTATGTATATGTCTTCCTTTAAAAAAACGATAAAAATGAACGATATCTTTCAAACAATTTCAAATGAAATATATTACGCTCTTCGTGTCTCTAGAATGATCATCTGCCCACTTGAGTTACACGATGATTAAATACATTACAGATGGTATGAGTGATATATAAGAACACTATTATCATCATATCATCTGATTTGAAGAAATACTACGGGAGATTTTACTGAGTACAACTTTATAATCATCACTGGCTAAGAACTGATCAATATGCTTTACAGATAACATAATTTATATATGCTTTACAACAAAAAGAGCCCGAACCGACTTAAACCGGCGGTACGGCATATAAACATTAATGTGTAATAGAGTTAGTTCAGAAGAATTCAGTAAAGAGCTCGAAGAAGAAACGTAAACGTAGAAAGAACACGCATCATTCATCTATTTTGTTTGACGTGAGAGCTTAACTCATCAACTGCTTAAGCTAAAAAGAAACTGAGATGACAGTTTCTGTTTTGATGGGTTCCACAATGACAGCAAAGGTGTCTCGCGAAAGTGGCGACCAATGGTAATGCTATTGAAGCATAAAGAGCCGAGAATTTGAAGAAATTCCGGCGAAAAAAATTGTAAAGAAAAACACATTTGTGTCACAAGACCATGGATTTTATCTAATCTATGACTGTTCGTTGTTCGATGACTGGAACGCCTCTTTATTCCTTTGAGTAAACAACAGCTAATTCAAATACTCATACCTGCTAAGAGTCCGTTGTCGTTCCATTCCAGGTATCGCGACACCAGACAAAACACCACATCCTTTGCACAAAAGTATGAATGATCGAGCCATTTTATCCGGCTAAAATCCAACCCAGAGATGTTTAGTTGAATTACAGCGAGAAAAAGCGAAGAAAAAAAGAAAGAAAGAATCCATACAGCTTCCTGAAGAACATCTGCAACATTGTCAACGATAAGTAGAGTGGTTTTACGTCGATTCATGCTCTTCTGAGTACTGTAGACAGTATGCAGATGTGAAGCTCTTGACCCAGAAACAAGTAGAGTATCCACACTAAATGGATATAGCATTAGAAATTTCTTAAAATACTTCTTTCACTTGACAGAAATATCATAGTAGACTTCAACACAAGAAAGTGACGTTATCGGTCAAAGATTTCTATTCGATACTGGTTTTTCTTTCGTTTAAATCAATAGCAAAAACTCATAACATATCGTACTTGTCAAGTTTAGTGCCGATCGATGAAGACAAATCTGTTCTCTTAGTGAAGGCCAGCAAATATTTGCTAAGATTACGTGGATTGAGAGTGTGTTTCAATTGATCCACATAAATTTGCCTATCTTTCTTATTTACCTGAAAACATAATCGTACAAAAAATAAATACAGAAACAAATAAAAGAAATGCAAGCAATTTCTGGTAAGTTGGATAGCGACAGTAAGGATAACCACATTGGCAAAGTAAATTATTATGGTAAGAAGTGTTACCACTTAAAAGACAGCACCCACGATAGTTTTACCTCAAAAATTCTTAGGAGAAGAAAAAGCAACATTTGTTATAACACATGACGCGAACGAATTTCAAGGCAAAACTAGGCCCCGCTCTTGAAAATACTCTGTTTCAACTTTGTTTTTTTTTTGTTTTTCCCACTTTTAGTCAAATTTCTCGCACCCGTAAACTGTAAACTCGCTTGGTGTAATTTCCATGCCATGTACGCCGAACATCAAACGTCTGACCTGACTGTAGGTATGTTAATGATTAATGACTCACATAGTGTTAGTTGTGAAAGAAAAAACTCAGTGTGGGTGCCATCTTCAATGTAATCATCACAATCAGAATTCAACAAGCATTGCAAACTGTAGGAAAGAAGTCATGCGAATCTTAACGACACTAAATTCAAGAACGTGCCACTAACACGTGCCACTACCACGTTGGACTTGACGATAACCAGGCACTATGGATTTGTGCCAGACAGAAATCATCAATTCAAACAATATCCACGCAAATATTATTAGATTAGTGATAAGCACTTGATCATTACTTAAAAAATAACTTGAATGAACACAAAACTACTAGCAGATATACGAACGGAAACGAAAACTTACGTCGACGGCCTGAATTCGCTCGTTAAAGAAAATCGAATTAGTGATTTCACATTGTCAACTCTTCATCACAAATCAAAATTCTATCGTTATTCACATGACATATAAAAAAAATCATAAAGAATCGTTTAATTCAAATCGTAACAGCAAACTATACCATACGCAAGTTACTAACATTCTCAATCTATTGATTAGAGATTCCCGATAGTCGCTAATCGATAATAGCAAAAAGTTTGCAGTGTAAAGGAAAACTGAAGAAAAGAAAAAAACTTACGGTGCCAAATTTATGAGTGACAAGGTATTCCCATGCACCGTCCGTCATTATGTCATTCTCCAAACGCATGTTGATTACCTGAATTATCTCGGTAACGAAACAGTAATATTTCATCCCGAAGAACAGCATTCTAGACAATAACTCACTTTGTCCTTGCAGTATTCAAAAATACCAGCTGTTGTCGATGTGCAATGAACTAAAATTATGCCGAGAATTCTGTTTGAATTCTCCATCTGAAATAGACAAGCATTCTCTCTGATGGCAATAAAACTATACATGGATGTATTTTCTTTTTTTTATTTTGGCAAACGCTTAAATACCTTGCCACGATATTTCCTCAAGAATCATCGGGTAAAATTTGCATTTTACTGATAAATTTCTGGTTGGAAAAAAATCTTCTTTCCTTGAAGCCACGAAAACCATGCTACTATGGCATTCCCAGATTGTCACCAACATGCCAGCCAGTGACTATGAAGTATACATGGCAGTGATTCCTAGAATTCATTTGCCCATAGCTGGACTTCCGGATGAAAATCTCCCATCCGTTCTCAACTAACGAGACAGTATGGTAGCATGGGCGAGAGGGACGGGAGGTTAACATGTTAGCTGCATGTAGCAATTCAATACTCAGGAACACTACCAGATATGACGAAACAGTAAAGCGTTGAAGGTTTTTCAGTTGAGATACTATTTTGCAACTACAAACCAATCTGCAACTAAAATATGTGTTTATAGATCCATTGTATTTCTATTATATACAAAGAAGACGCACCGCAAATCGACACAGGATGTTTGCGCCAGCTCCTTCACCGAACAGAATACACGACTTAAAAACATTCTCATTAAGTACACACTAAATTTATCCTAAAGTTTCTGTTCATTCAGTTTTTCTAACGTAGCTTCAAGAATGACGTTCAATTTGGCCTAATGCCTGAGTTTTGCAGATATCTCAGCATCCCTGTGGACGTTCAAATTATTGGTGACATTTGTAGATTTAGTTAAACAATTTATTTATTTATCAACTGCGAATAGAGGAGGATAACAAATTAGTCATAATAATGAAGTAGAGTGCTACACGTAGTACACTTTACAATCTCATTCCATTCTCAGTTAAAGCAAAGTTTAGGTACACAATTCAGCTAGGTAGTTTCTGATGGCTTTCCAATGAATTTCAACTGACAGCTACAATTTTGGTCTATTCATAAACACCTTAAAATCATGCGAATCAACTTTTACATACAGAATAAGCAGAGATGATGAAGAAACAATGTTTCATTGCTCTCAATTCTTCATTGAAGAGCTTGCTAACAAACGGATGACCCACTCCCGACTGAATGGTTTGGTTGATCTTGTTGGCCTCGTCGAAGTAGTGAAGGGGAAGGGTCATTGCACCGTTCGATAGAGGAAAAAAGAAGATAGAAAATGTGAAGTGGAAGAAAAAAACGTAAGGCAAAGAAGACGAAAGAGAAAAGCATACATTATTAGAAAAGCCCTATATAACAAGAGCGACCAAACACTAACAGAAAAAATCCAACGCTTCTAATGTTGTTAGTTATTTGCAATAAAGAAGGAAAACAGAACTTACAGAGGAACAAGCTTACATGGAAAGCACAATATGAGCTAATTTATTAACCTAAGTCTTATTTTTGACTTTTCAAGGTATTTGTAGATAAGTAGAGAGCAACTGCGAAAATAAATCTTAAAGGTGTTCTTACTTTCACTTCGAATTTGTCCAGTACACACGTCAAATCCTCCGCTATGTTATCAAGCGTGGGAAAACTGCAATTGAAATCCATATAAAGAATGGACTTAATTAAACGCTTAGATGGTCAAGCATGTTCTATATAGGATTGGACCCAAGTGGTAAAGACACTAAAACATTGTCAACGGTATTTACAATAGCAATAAACCCAATAATCAAAATTTTAAAACATCTGAAATTAGCATTTAAGTAGGACTAGGACATACTCTCCAATGTAGTCAGCTGCATTATCCTCCTGTCCAGGTACACAGACATGAAGAAAGATGGATTTATTCTTCACATCAGCCATTGATGGATGATTTACGAATCGAACAAACGTCTTGTCTAGTAAAAGTAACATCATCTAATTTTTAATTTCCATACTTCTTTTCCACCGTTTTCTTTTCTTTCTATTTCTTTACTCATTAAGCGAGCAATCCACTCACCAATCGAAGCTCCTGGTTTGTCTTTCTCTGATCGATGCTTTTTACCTTAACAATGCTTCACCCGTCAACGGGAATGATCTGGGGAGCTCAAATCGGCATTGAACCCAGTTAAGCTGAGGTTGTAGGTGAAATAACAATGTTTATTACGAACTAGCTGGCGCCTTAGATTACTCGGTGGTATTTCGATCATCGTTACCGAATTCTCTAGACTGGCCCTTCTTAAAAAAAAAAAAATAAAGTAAAGGCAATACCAGTACCACCATTTCCTCAACCGTTCTTTAGACAACAAGAGCCCATTAATGAAGTTGATGTTAAATTTCGGATGTTTACGAATGAAACTTTCAAAGTCCTTAATCACTATCGCGCTAAAAGATACTGCTCCAACCTCACTGAAATACAAAAACGTGGTTTGCGAGAGGTACGAGAGCTGATAAGATCAAAAAACATAAGACTATCGGTTAGTGAAAAGGGTGGAGAGTTCGTTGTAATTCCCCATCAGATGTTGAGATAACGGAAAAGCACCTTGAAGATGCTTCCCTTTATCGTCCGTCGTCTGAGAAGGAATTTAAAAGTCAATACCGAAAGTTAAACAATGAATGGGTTAAAGTGGCAAGAGCGGCTGAGTTAAAACCATCAGTTATCTCTCATCTCAAAATTGATTTACCAACATGTCCCGTCCTGTACTTACTTATCAAAACCCATAAGTTAGTATCCAGCGATGATCTCGTGTCTAACGATCCATCGTTATTTAAGGTTAGACCTATCATTAGCTGCGTGGACGGGCCAACGGATAGAATAACGTGGTTAATAACCGTAATACTTACTCAGTTTTTGAAGTACATTCCAGCACATCTAACGAACACCCAAGTGTTTCTGGATCGTCTACGTAACGCGCGACACAACAGCGCGTACGTGGTGGAGTCCTTCGACGTCACTGCCCACTATACGAACGTGTCGAATGACTCCGCTATGCAAGCCATAAACGACCTCCTTATACAACACGAAGAAGCAATAAACATGTACGGCTTCTCGATTCAGCAGTTGATGACACTTTTAAAGGAGTGCCTAAAGTGTTCAATCATCAAGTGGTCCAGGAGGTGTTACGCACAATTGAGAGGGCTAGCAATGAGACAACGACTGGCACCAAGCCTTGCCATTACATTCATGTCTAAGGTGGAAGCGCCAGTAATCGACTTCGGTCCGTTACTCTACTGTAGATATATAGATGACTGCTTGGTCAATTGTTCAACGCAAGAAGAAATCGACAGATGTTTCGAGTTGTTGAACACACAGTCAGAGTATATTAAATTCACCCAAGAGAAACCAAAAGAAGACTGGTTTCCATTTCTGAACGTGCAAATTAGCCTATCAGAAAACGGCTACATTATGAAGTGGTATCGAAAGCCAAGTAGTAAAAACATCCTAGTTCATTACCTCTCCTCTCATCCCTCTCACACGGAAAGGACGCTTGTGAGAAACATGTATCGAACAGCTACCAGCGTGTGCACAGGAAGACAATAGAGAGAAGAGTCCCTGAACTTGGCGCGGCAAATATCCAGTTTTAATGGCTACGAAACTGTAGCTCGAGATAGGTGCAGAGGAAACCACAGGTACCCCAACGATAACTCTAGCGACAACAGGTCCCGTTTATACTGCCCTTCATTTCAAATGAAGTAAGTGCAGCTATAAAACGCTGTTTAAGAAGGGCCAATCTAGAGAATTCGGTAACGATAATTGAAATACCATCGAGTAATCTAAGACGCCAGCTAGTTCGTAACCCCCTATACGACCTTCTATGTGTAACGCAAAATTGCATAATTCGTCCCAATGGTAGAGATGGTAACTGCATGAGATCGGGTACAGTCTATCTGATCTCATGTAAAGCGTGCGGAGACGAATACGTTGGCGAAACGGGTAGACTACCCTGCGTAAGTATGAAAGAACACCTAGTCAGCAAACGTAAGCTAAGTACTTCACTAGGTACGCAAAGCACGCAGAAACATAACGGAGAAGATTTTGAAGTAAGGGTTAGGATCCTCGCGCAAGAATCGAGAACACAAGAGCGCAAAGCTCTAGAGGCATTCTGGATAAATTCCAAGAATCCGAAAATGAACCGCAGGAAGGAATGCCTCGTTATCACGCGTGATATTGGACAGTATATAAACCTGTTATTCCGATGGGAGGGGCACATTAAGCTTTCATGTGAATTCTGTGCGGTCGGTCTTCACGCGACATACTCAGTGGAAGACTCATACAAAGCGGTGAGTGTACAGAGCTATGCTAAATGTGAATGAAATCTTGGTTTAGCGTTTTCTCTGTTTGGTTATGGAGGTGTTTGGCCGAATGCATTGCTGTCAAGTTGACCCTTCTAGGCTCTGAGGAAGGCGAAATCCGCCGAAATGTCAGCTTGCGCGTAAATAAAGAAATAAAATAGCACCTCGTGTTTGCTGAACAGAAGTAGAAAGATATAACAATGTTAACTTCTTATTTTCTCCTTGCTGAAATTTTTACAACAGGGTATTATGCGAACTACAACCACAACGATGCTGAGATATTTGCAAAACTCCACCCCGCAGGTGCCTGCGGCGGGAACGAACGCGCTATTACCCTCTCCGGGATCTAACGCGTTCACCACCATTGCTGATGATAGATAGAACTAGCTGAGAGACAGGTGAAACCAAGTACCTGCATGGTGTGGTGGTGAACGCGCTAACTCCAGGAAAGGAAAATAGCGCGTTCGTTCTCCACCGCAGACACCTGTGGTCCAGAGTTTTGCAAATATCTCAACATCATTGAGGTTATATTTCGCAATATATACCCTGCCGTTAAAAAATAAAGTAGGCAGCTAATAAAAAGGTTAAGATTGTGATTTCAACTTCAGCTTCAGCTTAACTAGGTTCTTGTCGATTTGAGCTCCCTAGATCAGTCCCGTTGACAGTTGGCTGCTGATGGCACAGGTCGATAAAACTAGTTGAGAGACAGGCGAAACGAAAAACCCGCATGGTGTGGTGGTGAACGCGTTAATACCAGGAAAAGACAACAGCGCATTCGTACCCCACCGCAGACACCTGCGGTCCGGAGCTTTGCAAATACCTCAGCATCGTTGTGGTTGTATTTCGCATAATACCCTGCCGTGAAAATTTCAGCAGGCAGAAAATAAAAGTAAACATTATTATTTCAGTTTTTCTCGTTCAACCCCTAATCCTAGGCTACAGAGATTCGTCCGTGTTCAGTTCATTCCTTCGAATTAACAAAGATTGGCGACGTCCTGTGATGAAAACCTGGGAACGCTTTAGCACGGCTATCCCGAGGTTCCAGGAGGGATCCATTCCATCAGAATTCAGAAAGAGGACCAAAATTGTCAAGCAGCAGCCAAATACACACGAAAGGATCCAAAGACTTTGTAGAGGATGCATGCAAGGAAAAGAATAAAATTCAAAAAGTGGTGGGATCTGTAGAGTGTGTGATTTAGGGTCATGTACTATAAATAATTATGAATACTACTTGAGGTATAATCTTCACTGTAAACAATTTACTACTGATGACTGCTCATGGAGATGCTACTTTATTGTTTATTGGCGAAAAAGCTGACGTTTCGGTGGATTTCGCCTTACCCTGAGCCTGGAAAAGTCAACTTGACCGCAATCGACCCAGCCATACAGCTCCGCAACCAAACAGAGAAAATGCTAAACAAAGATTTCAATCACATTGGACACAGAAAAGCTTCTTCGCACAATCACCGCTCACTGTGATGAGTATTCCACTGAATACGTCACGTGGAGACCGACCACGCAGTGTTCACATGAAAGCATAATGTGCCTCTCACATTAGAACATCAATCTTAAATACTGTCCAATATCACGTGTGATTATGAAGCATTTCTCCTTGCGGTTCACTTTCGGATTCTTGGAACTAATCCAGAATGCCCTGAGAATTTTGAGCGCTTGTAGATTGCACTCAACTTGACCTCTCCAGACCCTGAGGAAGTCGAAATCCGTCGAAACATAGGCTTTTCCGTTAATAAAGTATAAAGTAACACCTCATTTTTGCTCAACAAGAGTGTGAAGAATTATTGGAACAATGCCGAGGTTAACAGAAAGCGGGTAGTGAGCATTACTAATGGATAAATCAACGTCGTAGAGTACAATGTCTTACAGTTTGTTCCAACGTCATGACAAGTGAGAACAATAGTCTTTCCATTACGATCCATGGTTCCTTGAATATATACGTGCAGAACTCCGCAATTGTGCGTTTGTACAGCAACCATCTAATAAAAAGGAAAGATATTTACAGTTTTACAACTTTTCATCTACACTTTTTTTCAAACAATTTCACTTCATACTTTCACAACGCCGACTTATTTATTACAAGGGAATGAATCAGAACAAAAAATAAACGGAAAACCATATGACTATGTTTTTAAAAAAAGTTTAAGTTTCACTAAAAAGAAAAACACCAAAATCGACTGGTCGATGTCCCCTTACCGTAGTGAGTTCTTTGCTTTAAAAGTTAAACGAAATATCGGAAGGACTTCATCTAGCCTTACCACCTTATTACTTACACAAGCGAGTAATGATTAGTATTGACCTGCTACGATAGTACACTGGTATCTTAGGTTGCAAAGGGAAAAACAATACCTGAAGTCCCTCGGTCATTTTTGTGCACGTGTTTTCTCAACGAATCTGAAAATAAAACATAGCATATACTTAATTAGTTACTAACACCTGACAACCATTTGCGAATTAATATGAAAAATCCACGAACAAATGCAACAAAGTGTACACTGGGTGAAGGTGAATAAATAAAATAATAAAGCTCTCAGCGTTAATCAATCCCCGCCATGCATTCCTCTTCATTAAGCATCGTTTGGAGGTGATTAAATGCATATCTGGCCTTTACAATGACTCGCAGTGGCCTACCGATGTATCGAGCCAGTCCTGCTATCCTCCCCAGATAAATCTGATACCAATTTGCCGACTCTGGAGGGATGGAGAGCTTGGTGAGCTGTGGGCGCGGTGATCCAATCCATGTATGTGCTGCGCTGCGCCTCCGACCACTGCGCTACACGCTCCCCTAATGTGAATAAATGACCAAGAAATAGCTCAAAAATTAACGCAGATTTGCTCAAGTATTTAAGAGAAATGCATTAAGAATATAAGTGGCTTCAAACTACAACGAACTTTAAGTTTAAAGAATCCATTATAAAAGAAAAACGATGTGGACAAGCACGGTTATTTTCATATGAAAAATCTTCACTCTCTCGCAATGAAGCTGGGTTTTTTTAGAAAAACGACGAAGGTTTCTCGATCAATAAACTCCTTCAGATGTTCAAAACTTTAAAGCGATTCATAGAAAGGACCATATCTTGTCGTCGTTCAAAGTCGCATATTATATATATATATATATATATATATATAT